AGTGGGGACCACGCGACAGACTCGAGGGTTTTGCCGGTGGTTATGGTGGATCCTGGCTCTCCGAAACTAATGAATCCTGCCAGGCCGCACATCTGCATCCGGAATTGCTTGACGTGGAAAAAATCGAAGGCAGCCACACGGCTGAGGGGTTTGGGGATGAGGGGATGACTTCCCTTCATTGCTGCGTGGGGATTACCCAGGATGAGGTCGAGGACTTCAGAACTACAGGAGGGCATGCGATGGCAATGGGTTGCTCTGCTGAAATTATTCGCCCTAGCATCCACGTCGCGAGCTAAACTGCCGGCAAAAGTGGTGAGGAAACTGGGTCTTAGTTTCTTTGGCATGCGAAACTTGGCGCAGAAACCCTATCGATTCGCTGAGGGTTTCCTGTCGGCACCGCTTTTCAAGGCTTCCTAGCTTGAAGCGTCAGAGCCAGAGCTGCGAGGACCTGTTTTTCATCCATGAACCATGCGAAACTGGGCTCAAGGGCTGAGGCGTTGCTCTGGCTTATGAACCCGAGGAACGCGACACGATTCAACAGCCACGCTGCGACCGCCTTCCCCAGACACGCGGCATCGCCCGGCAAGCAGAAGAGGTGCATGGCAGAGGCTCGAGCATCTGATTCATGGAGCTAATGACAAGGATCTCTGCAACGAAGCCTGAGCGCACGACCTATCTGATCTGCCGGCACGAGGCACGGCGAAAGTGCAAAACAAGCAAGCATAAGTTGCAACATCATCGAAACATTAATTGTGACGATAAAACGACACTATTGCTCCACTCCTCTGCAGAACGAACCGGAGCTCTTCAAAAGGAGGCAGTAAAGGTAAGGGCGGTGGCGCTACCTGTCCACGGCATACTGCACATAGCCCAAGGGACTGGCCTCGGATGATAGGGCAAACTTGCAAAGACATGCATCAAACAAACCGTGGAGAGCAGAGTATCTCGCATGTGCGAAAACGGAAGCCGAGTTGCAGCGGAAACAAACCACTGTCAAGCCTGGAGCGAGTTCCAACGTGCTTTCATGCCGGGAGCTGGGCGTAGTAGCATTCTCGCATCTGCTTGGCGCAGGAGGGCTTCTCGAAGTGGTCCTGGCGCAGCACAACGATCAAGTTTGTCAAAACAGAATCAACATCAACAGCAGTGACGGGTCGGCTTTTGCCATGGTCAGCTCAAGCCCAGTAGCACTCCGAGCAGATGACACTCCGCTGCCACTTAATTCTTCCCTGAACCCTGCCCAATATCTGGCATTCCGCTAGCGAAAGCCAGTGACTGCAAATGGAGGACAGTGAGGGATGCTAAGTTTCATAGGTCATGGTTTTTAAGGAAAAGTTCATTTCGGAAATGGAAGTTAAGGTCTGTCGAACGTCGCATCCGGTAGTATGCGCACTGATCAGAGCATTTAAAGAATCAAGCGCAACAAACACAAAGCAAGCGCTGCAGATTTTGCATCAAAAGTAAGGCCTGGCGAAAAGCGGCTAACTGCGAGAGGCCATAGCTCGGTGAGCATAGAGGGGGTGGTGGAGCATTGCTGAAACCGGCAGCAAAAAAAATGGGCCTTAAAGTTCACAATGATGATGAACTTTAATGGTTTTTTTGCTGGACGAATATGTGAATTGGCCTTCAAGTCCACAGTGACAGCGCGAGGGATGGGGTGGAGCATTGCTGAACCCGGCCAAAAAAATGGGCCTGAAAGTTCAAAACGAAATGAACTTTAAGGAATATTTTTCCTGAACGAATAGGTGAATGGGCCTTCACGTCCACAGTGACAGCGCGAGGGGTGGGGTGGAGCATTGCTGAACCCGGTAGAAGATATAGGCCTTAACGTTCAAAACGAAAAAGAACTTTAAGGACTATTTTGTTCCTGAACGAAGAGGCCTTCAAGTGCATAGTGAAAAGCGCGGGGTGATGGAGCATTGCTGAACTCGGCACGAAGAGGCCTTCAAGTCCACAGTGAAAGGCGCGGGGGGTGGGGTGGAGCATTGCTGAACCCGGCAAAAAAAAGGGCCTTAAAGTTCAAAATGAAATTGAACTCTAAGGACTATTTTTTCCTGAACGAAGAGGCCTTCAAGTCCGCAGTGAAAAGCGCGGGGTGGTGGAGCATTGCTGAACCCGGCAAAAAAATATGCCTTAAAGTTCAAAATGAAAATGAACTTTATGGAATATTTTCCTGAACGAATAGGCCTTGCGGGGTGGTGGAGCTTTGCTGAACCCGGCAAAAAAAGAATAGGGCCTTAAAGTTCAAAATGAAAAATGAACTTTCAGCATTTTTTCTGGGCCTTCACGTCCGCTGTGAAAAGCGCGGGGTGGTGGAGCATTGCTGAACCCGGCCAAAAAAAATAGGCTTAAAGTTCAAAACGAAAATGAACTTTCAGGATTAATTTTTCCTAAGCCACTAGGCCTCCAATCACGATCGATATCCAGTGTTTGGTAGATCTAGACTCTTCGGCCGGTTTTTTGTCGGTCCCGAAGCTTTGTAAGCGTCTCTTTCGGCCGCGAACCGCTCGGCGCCCGGCTGCGGCTGACGCGTTCGCAGCTAGACGCGGCTGGCGGCTCGTGATTGGAGGCCTAGTGGCTTAGGAAAAATTAATCCTGAAAGTTCATTTTCGTTTTGAACTTTAAAGCCTATTTTTTTTGGCCGGGTTCAGCAATGCTCCACCACCCCGCGCTTTTCACTGCGGACGTGAAGGCCCAGAAAAAATACTGAAAGTTCATTTTTCATTTTGAACTTTAAGGCCTATTTTGGTTTGCCGGGTTCAGCAATGCTCCACCACCCCGCGCTTTTCACTACGGACTTGAAGGCCTATTCGTTCAGGACTTGAAGGCCTATTCGTTCAGGACAAAATAAACTATAAAGTTCATTTTCATTTTGAACTTTACGGCATATTTTTGTTTGCCGGGCTCAGCAATGCTCCACCACCCCGCGCTCTTCACTGCGGACTTGAAGGCCCAGGAAAAATCCTGAAAGTTCATTTTCATTTTGAACTTTAAAGCATAATTTTATTTGCCGGGTTCAGCAATGCTCCACCGCCCCGCGCTTTTCACTGCGGACTTGACGGCGTATTCGTTCAGGAAAAAATCCTTAAAGTTCTTTTTCGTTTTGAACTTTAAGGCCTATTCTTTTTTTGCCGGGTCCAACAATGCTCCACCATGTCGCGCTTTTCACTGCAGACTGGAAGGCCCAGGAAAAAATAGTCCTTAAAGTTCATGTTCATTTTGAATTTTACGGCATATTTTTTTGATGGGTTCAACTTAGCTCCACCACCCCGCGCTTGTCACTGCGGACTTGAAAGCTTATTCGTTCAGGAAGAAAAAATCCTTAAAGTTCTTTTTCATTTTGAACTTTAAAGGCCTATTCTTTTTCTGCCGGGTCCAGCAATGCTCCACCATGTCGCGCTTTTCATTCACTGCAGACTGGAAGGCCCAGGAAAAAAATATCCTTAAAGTTCATGTTCTTTTTGAACTTTAAGGAATAATTTTTTTTGCCGGGTTCATCTATGCTCCACCTCCGGCGCTTTTCACTGCGGACTTGAAGGCCTATTCGTTCAGGAAGAAATAGTCTTTAGAGTTCAATTTCATTTTGAACTTTAAGGCCCTCTTCTTTGCCGGGTTCAGCAATGCTCCACCATGTCGCGCTTTTCACTGCAGACTTGAAGGCCTCTTCGTTCAGGAAAAAATACTGAAAGTTCAATTTCATTTTGAACTTTAAGGCATATTTTTTTGCCGGGTTCAGCAATGCTCCATCACCCCGCGCTTTTCACCATGGACTTGAAGGCCTCTTCGTTCAGGAAAAAATAGTCCCTAGAGTTCAATTTCATTTTGAACTTTAAGGCCCTCTTTTTTGCCGGGTTCAGCAATGCTCCACCCCACCCCTCGTGCTGTCACTGTGGACTTGAAGGCCAATTCACCTATTCGCTCAACAAAAATAATTCTTAAAGCTCATTTTCATTTTGAACTTTAAGGCCTTTTTTTCCGAGTTCAGCAATGCTCCACCCCACCCCTCGCGCTGTCACCGTGGACTTGGCTGTAGAATGATCTCAGGTCGGGGCCGCATCCACCGTCTGTCAGCACGTCCACCGGGAACATCACATGGAAGCATGGAAAACGACACGTAAATGCACAAATCTCGTAGCTGCGTGCTCGACTTGCAGTGACTAACATAGCTTTCGGAATCTCATAAGACAACAAGATCTGATGAATGTGATCTGAGCTATTCACAGCCGATTCACAGCCGTTCACGGCGCACGACAAAAAAAAAACACATGGCACAATATGTTTATATGTTTTTGCGACCGATTTCTGAGCCACTGCATTCAGGACCTATATTTCCAAAACTACTTTTCAAAAACCCTTAAGTTCCATTCCCAAAATAGAGAACCAAAACCTATGAAACTTAGCAGTGAGGGACCCTCTGTAACCGGGCACAGTCCATAAAGCTGCAGTCTCGCTCCTCGAGCATGCTTTGAACTTGGGCTTCCAAGTCCTGCACATGTTTGAGAAAGTTCTCAGCTTGCGGGCTTGGGCAGCGCTGGATCCAGGTTGTGAGACTTCGTGCGCACGGCAATCCCACTGAAGACTTCACTGACTGAAAATGTATCATCTGCGAAATTTTGAAAACTTGAATTGTAGCAGCAGAAACCCCTCACAATGACCACAGGGCACAACCCCGCCGGGACGCTCAATATTATTATGGATATGTGATTCCTGCGGAAACATATCTGGGATGTACATTCTGAGAGATTTGAATGCGGAGAATGTGGGAACTGTCAGCACTACTGTTCCGAATTCGAGGCAGAACAACTTGCAAACGATCCTAGCATAAGGCTCTAGATGGGCAGCCCAGTCTACAATGCCGCAGCAGCGGACAACAAGTCTCGGTTCTTTCATTTCCTTCTGGAAAGTGCAACATCTGATAGTCAGCTGTCGTCAGTCTTTGCATCTCAAGACATCGAAAGCTGATCTGAATGCTACCTGGAGTCTGCTGATGCTGTCAGCAGAGCCTCGGTCTTCTTGAGGCGGGCAGCCAAAGCTTGGTAGTTCTTCTTGGCCTTGGCCTCCTCCTGCCAGCAGAAGAGCTCAATCGAACACGGTTTCAGGCTTAGGTTGCGCAAAGCTATCCAGCTATCAACAACGACGGTGCAAAAATGGATGCCAATATGTCTCGGAAGTTGGGGCCCCTCCCCTATGAGCAAACCCACAGAATAGGGCATGAATCCTGCTTGCTGTCCTGACTTCCTTTGTAATTTCCCGACATCACCCTTCATGCTTCCCAACAAGAGCAACGCTTCTGACCAATGGCACCTTCTGTGTCCTGAGTGGAGCCCCATGCCTCCGAGTTTGACCCGGCCTCGGCGATGGCCTCCGCACTTTTGCTTCTAGGACGGTACAGGCACCTCAGCGCTTCACCCTCTGAAGCCGAAGAGCTTCAAAGAGAATGCTCCAACTGCTCACGGTTTAAGAACTGAGTGAGTGAATTTCCTCTGGGGCCACATGAAACATTGGATGTCATATCCCCCAAAGCCAGCATGCGAGGACCTCATCCCGACGGAAACCTCAAGCTTGAAAAAACTCGGCCCTTTGCGCGCGATCAGAGGCTCCTTTTGGACGACGGGATCCAAACCAAGAGGCTGACTGAAGCGCTGGGCTCGGCACGTGGCATAGATAGACAGAACCATGCCTGAGGTCGTTTGATTCCGATGGCCCATGGAGTTTGAGACCTGGGACTTGACGATGAATACCACAAGGAGGAAGATCAAGACTTTAACCATCGAACTCAAAGGAAGGTGCATCTCGCGATGTTCCTTTTCCACGATCACTCAACTCTGCTCGAAGGCCCTGGAGTCGTTGGATCCAGCGGGCCAGAACTGTACACACCGTTAACCAGTTCAGAACCCACACCACCTTCGGACATATCCAACGCTTCATTCCAACACAAAAGGCCTCCGGTACAAGATGAAGCTCCTGCCAAGGCACACAAACAAGCTCTGCCATCCGCCATGCTTGGTCGCACGTCCAAACATCCTGAGCCCCGCCCGACTGAGACCATCAGAAGGGTTATCGTCGGACGGGATCCATTCGATCCAAACTCTGCATCCCAACTTGGCCCACAAGAGGTGGCACGTAGAAATGGTTCTTGCACAATCTGGAGAGGAGCACGGGGCCTTGGCAACGCCAGCACAGACAGACTGGTTGTCCCCGAAGAGCAGCACATCCCTGCCGGAGGCGTCACATTTAACGAAGGAGGGTGCCCAACATGGTGGCGGGGACCTTCGACGCTCCCGCATGGATCTGTTCCAAGCGCGGGTGGCAGATGCCAAGCCCTGGCAGTCCATCTCTGCCGGCTCCGACTCCGAGCTGGCGCCCGTGTACACGAGCAGCGGCGAATTCCGAAGGTCGTCAGACCAAACTGTCCTTATTGTCCTTGCACTGCCTTTGGAGCAAAGCAGCTTGGCCCGCTCGTCCACAATTGCCGAACATGCCACATGCTGCCCACGAGGTCCAAAAGGACGCCGAGGAAGTGCCTCTGTGTGCCAAGCATCAACATTCAGCCCATGAGGTTATGGGCCTCACGCCAGAACGCTACCCCGCTACCCCTGGCACACACAAAAGCTAGCACCCCAAATTGCAAAGTAGTTGCAAATTTTGCATCTGTTGCGATGCTACGAACTATGGATATAGGGCACTCCATTAAAGTTTGAGACTGCAGCGGACAAGCCGAAAGGATGAGCCCGCAGGTGCACACTTGACCTCTTAATCATCTGGATCGAAGTAGGCAGCAAGCAGGCCTGCATTCTCGGAGGGGGCATTCGGCAACTGTCGGTATGTCGCTTTCATGTGGTTCGGCCCATTCCGGTAGCGAGGTTTCCAGGTGTTGCAGGAGGTTGATACGTACCTTGCAGGCAGCTGCAACAAAGTCGAGACTGATGGTGTAGTTTGTCTCTTCCGAGAAGCAAGATTCATGATGTCCGCTGAAACGGCCATCATCACTGGCACGCGACTTAATATTAGCTTGCAACAACACGCATCTGGGAATAGGGATCCAATTCCCTGGCCCGAAAATGTGATCCAGCTGGCTCTTGGTAAAGGGGCCAGAAGCAAGGCCGTCATGCACCTCACCGAGAGTGATGTCCTTGGCCTCAGCACCAAAAGCAAAACGAGGCAGGCATTGCTAAACCTTGTTCCTGACCTCTCGCGTGCGCTGGCCTAGAAGAGCGGCAAAGCCTAATTGGGGCCGGAGCTGCTTGCAGAGGGCAGTGTCCCACGGCAACAAGAACTAGACAAACGCTTGAGAGCACTGAGCTGCTGTTGTCGCCAAGCTCTGATACACAAGGTCCTAGCGGTCCTAGCGTACACATGCCCCGATAGGCAAACATGGAATCGTCATCGAGTTGAGCAGCCGTGTCACAGGGGTTGGGCAAGCACGCCGCAAACTGCATATGTGTGGCCTTCCCGCGTCCGGGCGGCAACCGAGGTGGCGCCGCATGCTTAGCATTGGGCCCCGCACCCTGCAATCCAACCGCTTGCCTCGATTCAGCCAAGTGTGTTTGTTGCCTCCACTCGGTCGAAGCTGTGTATCCACCCAGTAAACCTGCAATCTGGCAAGGGCAGCGTCAAAGCCGGAGGACGGGCAGATGTCGGGAAGTGGTACGCCGGACTGAGCAAGGGAATGACGCGTCAGCCTAGAACCCCGGCAACCCATCCACTAAACCGGGCTGCCACGCAGTGTCCCGTGCCTGCGAACGGACATGCTTCTCAAGGCGGCAGGAGGGACGGATGCCGTTTGCGGGCAGAGCCGAAGCAACATGATGAGAGCCAGCCTGCACGATGGGGGATCCTGTTGCCCACCAGCGAACACCTGGTGTTTTTGTTTCCGTCCTGTCGTCCTTCTTTGCAGACTTGTCATGCTTAGGGACCAGGAAAGCGGAATGCCCATGATTTGAGCCCTCTCGGATGCATTCGGCACTCGCCACTGGCTGCCCTCCCACAAGCATCCTGCTCATAATTGAAGAGAGGTAAGCATTGCCCATCCTCCCGAAAGCGCCGCAAGGTCTCGGCATCCTGTCGCCCATGTCTTTGACGCCGCTCCTACAACTTTCACCAACCCTCGGCACAAGCCGGCTGCGCGGGTCTTAAGCGTACTAACATGATATCCTGGCAGGGTAGGCACGGGGAAGGGGAACCCCAAACTACGGAGCCTACTCTTAACTCCAACGACATCTCACGTCGCGTGCACATGGGCATGTGTGTAGCACGTGATCGATCAGCGATCGCCATTCCACGGCACCGTGGCATGTGCCCACGCTGGTCGGAAGAACACGGCCGTTTCGCGACTATCAAACTTGGATGCACTCACAGACTCTGCAGAAGTCTCAGGGACAAGTTCTCCCTACGCATCCTCTACAAGGAGGCCTCCAGCTATGTGGGCAGTTGGCCGCATCCACATGCGACGAGGCCTGGATATCATGTGCAACAGCAATGGAAGACCATGTCACGCCAGGCATAAATTCAGGCATCAAGCCGTTCAGCTGTCGGCGAACCCGAGATGTGGCTGTTTGGGTCACTCCCTGAACAGTGCGGCCGCTGAAGAATCACAAAATGAAATAATTCTGCATTGGAACCGAGCCCAAAACCTTCTGAAGACTGTTCACAACAGCTTCACGGAAAGACTCACGCAGAAGTTCGAGGCACTCTGAAGAACGCTCACATCGTGGGCCGATCAATGCTGGCTCCTCCCCGACGGCAGCTGCAACAACCTCGCGGGCAAGTACTACTTACTGCTACTTCAGCAAGATACGAGCACTATGTCCAGACGCAAGTGCGTTGGCAGGCGGAGTTGCAGCCCACTCACAATAACACCTACGCTCAGCGGTTGCGCAGCGGCCTGGCTCCTATTTCTGCTTGCCCCGGTGGGGGCAATTGGTACGGTGCTTCATAGATGCGCAGACACTGCCATCTGCCAAGACGACGTCGCAAATCCCGTCACACCCTCGATTATCATTATTGCGTTTGCCAACGGGCTGGCCGTCGAAGTGAGTGGCGGTCTTGAGCCTCTTGTCAGGGGAACCTGGGAACCCCTATTGCGCAGAGGGTGCCATGTCCGAAAGGGCAGCGCAGCAAATGCGCAGGATGGTGTCGGGATACCGAAGGTTGAGTCAAGGGTGCAAACACAACGTCCTTTGCCGGGCTCCTCTTGGACTGCACTGTGCGCTGCAATGCAAAATCGTAACCCAGGGTCCTGAAGGAATTGTAACACTCCAAGACCGATCTCACCGGGATCTGCTCCTCCTGATCAAGCTTCAAGCGCACCTGTTAATTGAGTTGGATGGTCTTGTCACTCTGGGGCTTAGATGCCATGAACAAGCTATTGACATAGCTAGCAGTGACGACCATGGTCGTCGGCCCGTGGCACTCTCACGATAGAGGCGTCCAGGCAGCGTGTCAGCCGGCATGTAATGCGCATCAATCTCAACTTGGTGCTGTAACAAGGTCTCCTGAGTCGAATGTTCAAGGGCACACTCGATCTCTTCCACAGCTTCACCCTGTTGCTTCTTATGCTCACTCCGAACGAGGATGGTGCGGGCGGCACGTCAGGCTGCGCGAACCCGGCTAAAAAGGCTGGAGTATCCTTAGCCGCATGTTCACGAAATCATCAAGAGACTCCATCTTGAGCTTATCTAAGCAATGACCGATGAAGGCATCGGGAAGCTGGGCCTCTGAAAGGCATCGCCTTCATGCGTCCGTCTTCAGCTTAGCCATGGCTAGATGCTCAGCCCTCGCATGGAGTCAGCAAAACTGCAATGACGAGATGCTTGCACATCAACAACCGAAATCGAGATGGCATGATTTTGTAAGCTGGGAATGCCACCCTATGTGATGCCACCCGGCAGTCAGTCAACGACCTGTGGACTGCCTTTCGCAGGCAGCACAGTCATGGTGAGAGTGGCCGTTTATTACGAGAGCAGTAGCCCGCAAGACGTGAGGTGCATGGTGTGACACAAGGGACATCTGTGGCCTGACCCCAGTGCCTGGTGTCTACGTTCGCCTCAGACGGTGGCGCCGCCCAGCTCCAAGAGGACGATGATGCCGCCCATATGCCTCCTTGGGCGCGCTCCCCCTGATCCAGAGCCTGCCGAATGAGCTGTAACCACTGCGGCGGCAGCTGCAACAAAGACTCCACGAGGACGTCATGCGAAGGCGGGCTCCCCTGAACTTGCCCCATGAACACCGAACCACCACGGCAGTGACGCGTGAAGAAGGGAGCAAAGCAGCCCGAGCCAGGAAGCCAGAGTGCAACGAAGTACAACTCAGAAGCGCAAGCCGAAGGTGAGGGGAATGAACAGGAACCATGTACCACACAAACGTGGCAGCACTCAGACTCACAGAGAATGCGTCGCACTATGCCAGCAGTCCAGGCAGGTACCTGTGCATCTAGTGCTTGCTCAGCTCTGCCTCGAAACGACTCAGTAGGACGCGTTCTGAGCTCTGCACAAGCATTTGCGACAAAGCTTCTGGCCAGCTTAGCACAATGACGGGCATCAAATGGCATCAAATGGAGGATCCTGGCAAACTGGCACGAAGCGGATTCTCGCCAGGTGGGTCACGCCTCGTAATGACTGCTGAAACCACACAACGGCACCCTGCTCCTCGCTGCTGCTGGAGTCGCTGGAGGAACCACTTGCAGAAAGCGAAGAGTCATCGCCTCCTGCCGGTGGCTCACCTGAGGGCTCCGAAGGTGCTGGAGGATGCCGCTCTGGATTGCGAAGCTCCCGACAACATCATCAACGGAGGGCAGGTTCTGGCGAAAATCATCCCAGCTCAGCTTGAAGGAAACTCTTTGTGCCGCCAAGAGGATGGAAAGCATGACTTTCTGCTTGATGCGAGCCGAAGTGAACACCTTGTTATTAGCATAATGTTGGGCCATGTGGTGTACAGCCCTCTGCTGGTTCCGTTCCGCGCTCGCTGAAGGACGCTCCTGCCAATTCCCGACGGCCAGCCTATGCTCCTCGGGCGATCTAAGAATGTCTGCAGCAGTCGGCCAAAACCGGCGGGCGAAGACTGTAGGAGGAGAAGGCACGTGCGTCATCCGCAGCAATGCCAACCCCAAGTAGCACTGACCGCAAGAAATCTGTAAAGCGGGACAATCCCATGCCCGTCGAGCGCCGCTTGGACGAGGGTGAGGCCGATAACGGCGATTTCTTAAGAACATCATAGTCGTGCGGTATGAAATCCGGATCACGACCGAAAGCTGTGCGAACCAAGGAATGATCCAGCATGACCTGCTCGGCGGGGTTCAACCCGAAAGGCAAAGATGGCAGAGCAGGCCCAATCAAACGGCGGCTGGGTCTGCTGGACACGTCGTTTGCCCCTCCTACATGTAGCCCGAGGGAAACTGTAGCAGACTTGCAGGATATGCGATCGCTGAAGATGTTTATACCTCAAACACGCCAGTAGGGCAAGCAATGCGCGGCACACGAAAAACTTCACAGCCCCTGTGGCCGAACTGCCAACCTTGCACAGAGCGAGCATAATCTGCAACGGCAATGGTTTTCTAGTCTGGGCAACATGTCCCTGTGTCGGGGAGGCCCAATGGCTAACCAAAGCATCCTAAGCCGAAAAGGCACCCCAACATGCCCCACCAATTCATGGATACAAATGCTCCTGAGGCGGCGGTGGGGCCGTTGAGGCTGATTTCTTGAGAATAAGAAGACATAGTGATCAGGCTTCCAGAAGGGCTGGTCAATCGGGGCATGTTTACCACGCCAATCAACCCACCGGCGCATTGCCGCCCGATGGCTGATAAACCGTTCATCACTCAAGGCCTGAAGCATGTGATCAGACAGAGGGCGAGCCTCGTCCTGCTGGAGCATCAAATCAGCACCGAGGACAGTGTTAGCTGAACCACAGAGAATAGCAACCTGGGGCATGGCCTGCAAACAGCAGGCACGCTTGTCGGTCCGAGGTGCAGCTTCGACCGCACAGCCCTGCGAATTAAACTGCCTGAGTGAAATTACGCGTTCGATGGGCAGCAGGCGGAAACAAGCGGGCCGCATCTTCACTGGGTCTTGTCCGAGGAGCCGGGGGAGCCAAGTGCAACTGCTCCTGCACTCTCGATTGCGCACGTGCCAGGCCCCAAGCATCCGTCTGATCATCACCGGATCTGAAGAAATATCCAGCAAAGAGTCATGATCCGCATAGTAACATTTCAAGATCAGAATCATCCTCAATGCCCAGCGAAGACAGCATTGCGCAAGCTGCAACACTCATCGACGCCTGAACAACGAGAAGAAAGGCCATCGCTCGCCTTCTCCCTGCTCAATAGTCAGGCCACCGCCCGCTGAGCAAAGCAGCTGCGATGGCTACATGGTTAAAAGTGCACATGTCCCTTCCCAACCAGCCATGCATGTGCATCTTCATAAGAAGACACATGCCAAGAAGTCATCAAACGGAATGTGAACCGAAAACAGATGCGTAAACTGTGGACATGTGATAACAGATTCTGATTGCCAAAACCTGTCGCGACCCAAGATCTGCATCTATGGTTCGCACATGTTGATAAGCATCTTTTCTGACACAGGCCTCCGTCCAAACAGCCCCATCACCTCTCATGCGCTAAAACAAAGCCCGGCTGCCCACACCAATGAGGACGATCGACGCGATGACCTGGCATCCAGCAGGGAGTCTCTGTCAACGAGCGAAACGGACCGGCGAGCGATTCCAGCTGCACAGGCATTTCGCCAAACCTTACCATCGCATGCATCCTACAGGCTTCTGGAATGGCCTACGAAGCATCCGAAGCCGCTCCTCGCTGCTGTGATGTGCGAAGGCACACTCTTGACCAACCCCAAGGCGGCACCTGGTTGTCGGGGGTGTACACAACGGCAGCGAAAGTGTGCCGGTCCAGGGTGTGGAATCCACTGGTGAGGGCCGCAAGATGCCAGAAGCAGCAGGAAGTCGCAGTTTCAGATTTCGTGCACGACCTGTGCCTAGGGCCTAGTTGCGTCTTTTTTGCAGATCTTCTTCGGGTTTGTGTTCGCAGCACTGAGGCCCGAGCAGCCGGAAGCCCGACTGTGGTGTCTCAGTGCAGATGCTACACCTGCCAAACCCAGCAACCGAGACTGGCGTTGCTAAAACATCCCTGCAGAGTTCAGGCAGCTCTCCTTTTAAGCTGTGGCTGTAAGTTTTGCTTCCTAGTGGAGCCTTTACCCTTTAACTTGATGGCTTCACGAGAAGCACCATGAACTGACAACCCCCGCCCGAAGTTGAACTAGATTCGAATATCTTCATGCTCGAAACCATGCGATCCAAAAGCCCAATGCAGCCCCAATAAAAGGTTCAAAAGCATGTCAGCTTTACGGCTCATCTTCACTGCCCACGAGGGTCCAAACCTCGTCGCACTGGACTGCTCAGGCCCCGGCTTAGATTTTGGGGAGCAGAAGATGAACGTAAAGCAAACGAGGCCCCGGAGAGCGTGGGTGCAACAGTGACGACAGTGACTTCTTGCTGGCTGTTGGAAGCGGATGGGGCTCGAGCCTGATGGCAATGCTTCTCGCTCAACAAGGTTCCCTCAGAGATCTATATTATGTAACACTCGTAAAAAGTACCCGAAACGCGTGGTTCGACTTTGTTTAGCATGCAACGTTCATAATTCAGAGCCTCTGGGCGGCGGGCGAGGACGGCCAGGCCAAAAAGCATCCAAGCAAGGCCGACGAAGACCTGGTACTGCAGCTAAGTGATTCATGCCATTGGCTCACGGAAAGTCAAAAGTCAAATCCGCACTCGAAGCTTCTTTGTCCAGGAGACTTGAGCTAGGATTCCGAGTTGGCAGCTTGCAGGCGGCTTACATCGAGGCATGAAACCTTCGGTAGGATTCCAATTGTCAGCACCCAGACAAGCGCGGCGAGATGGCAGCGTAGCGGCGCTCCACGATCATCACACGGCTCTTGACTTTGGATGGGTCGAACTCCTGCCCAGGTGGACAGGCCAGAGGGAATTGGCCCCGGCGCTTAACAAATGCAACGTTTGTTTGCAGCGTTGAGGCATTAGGGTTCCAAGCAAGGCATCCGCAATGTAGATTGGTATCCATAATTAGAGGCTGAAGCTTAGCGGATCTCAGCGAAACCGGAATCCCCGCCAGGCATAAGCTTGTTGAACAACGGGGAGCTCCTGAAGCTGAACCCGCAGCTCGTCGGGAGACAAATTCTTCCTCAACACACTTGAAGCTGAAGGAAGAGGTGCGTCATGCGTCCCGAACACCAGCCCGCTGAACACCCCATCAAACGAAACATGCCTCGGATCGGACAACGACAACCGGAAACAAAACTGCTCTAAGCCAGCGACTTCATGTGCACCGGCAGGGCTAGCTCGATATTGAGCTCCTTTCGACGCCTGCCGCCAGAGACTGTAGAGATCTGTAGAGATCTGTAGAGCTACTTCGTCATAGCCTTTAAACCCGAAGTCCCCTGTCGACAGCAGCGAAAGGGCTCGAAAGACAGGGGGATTTGACATTGTTTCTTGGCTGCACATGGTCGATGCCGTTAGTGGCATGGATGTTCGAGGCTTTGGTGACCTGGACACGTGGCGGATGGGTTAGGGCCTTGATTCGTGATTCTTTGTTTGCAATTTCAGCTTCGTGGCCCCGCCTCTGCTGCCTTCGCCTGCGTGCTTTGGCCCTCAGTGCCTGGGCCTGGCAGAACACGAAACCAAGACGAAGGGAAGAAGACGAAGGAAGCAGGGTACAAAAGGTTGCCTGGCAGGACCAGATGGGAGGTGGAAGACTCTGGGAAGACTCTGGGAACCCGAGCCGAAGGCCCGAAACCTCTTAGTCCGAAGACCAGGAGCCACGAGCTGTGCAGAGCTAAGAGGAGTTTACAGAGTTTACCAGTCTGCTACACCCGTGCTCCGTCTCCTCCTTGAGATCGGGAAAACTGCCCCCGCGGCTTGAGTGGGCACGGACTTTCTGCGCTGCCTTTGCATCGACCTATCTACGATGATTGGTGCAGAATTCGGGGATGTGGGGGTTAGGGCAAGGGGTGTAAGGCTTAGGCAAAGTGGTATCACGCGGATTCAGATCTCCTCTCTTCATCTGCAACTCCCAATTCTCAGGCTCCTACGGCACAGGAGATCAGATCCGAGAAAGACCACAGCGTCATGCCCAGTGCAGGCACGAATGCTTCCGAGCTGACCCAGAAGTAAACTCCTTGAGGCATGGAGGTATTCATGCTAGAACGGACCTATACTGTTGGCGCTATGCTGCTATGCAGTTGCGGGCGCAGACCAGGTTTGCCGTGGAGTGAATTCGGCACAGTGCTCCTGAGACAGCTCGACTTGATGGCACGTCGTCCTATGTGCTTCTTGCAACGAGCTGCAAGCAGCGAAGCACTCAAAGGAGGAGCCCATAAAAGAAAGCTCCCTCCTAGTATCACACAAGCAACCGGAACCAGGCTGACACGACGGCAAAGGGTCGGAATGTACGAAATGTGATGTTGTCATATCAACCGTACTATTGTCAGCAGCCTGGGCTAGCTCAGCAAGGCAGAACCTGCAAGGCACGGCGTAAGCGTGCCTTCACACGAAGTGTGCCTTTCCTTGCAGAAGACGGAAACATGGACTGGTGAGGGTCAGCTCGGTGCTTGCGTCTGTCGTGCCTGTGAACTCGCCTTAGCCCTCAAAAACTCGGGAAGACCCGAAAACACAGGGCCCTGAAGAACCTTGCCGACAACTGCTATCACGTTCATCACGAAATCGAGACGTGTCGGAACAAGGAACCTCGCATACATTCAACAACACTGAATTGAAACGCAAAGCAATCCGACTTCTCCTCCGAAACCTCAGCTTGAACACACTGAAAGCCTCTGGCCTGTCGCTGACGGCTTGCTCAATCTCTGAAGCGTCCCTGGTCTGCGGGTCTCGTTTTATACTTCTGGGTTTTGGTTTACATCTCGACGCCCCCCAGACTTTCAACATCCTTCAACCCTGAAGATACGGCCGCTCTTGGGCCCAGCCGCGATGGATCGGCAGCAACCCCTCGTCGGAGGGCTTGCGATTGAAGCGCACGGCTCCTGGCACCGGCAAAGGCAGAGGACGTCGCATGCTCATGCTCCATACGACTTACTGAAAGGCAGGCAGCGGCTGCTTCACTCTCGAGGCCCCTTGGCGCAGGTGAAGGTTTAAAGTCCAGGCTTCTGAGCAGCTGCAGAGCAGTCTATCCCTGAGGAAGAACCCCGAACCCTAAAGATCCCTGCCCTCGCCCTGTTGCGAGGAGCCTAGGAGTACGGCCACACCAAAGCAGCCAGCACCCAGGATCTGTGGCAGCGGGCGCCAGCCAGTGGGACCAGCACCTGTGCATGAAGGAGGGGGTTGAAGGAAGCAGGGAATGGCGCTGTCGCTATCGCTCCGGCTGCTTGGGCGGATTCTTGATTGACTCATAATTTGTCAGAATTCGGCCGGCATACTAAACCCCTCTCTCGTGGAAGTATCTGTACTGTTGTCATGCCACTTTCGGCAACAGTGGGTTAGACCACTTCCACTCCTAACATCATTTCTGTCCTTTTGCGCTTCCACTTTGGATTTCCCTTCCGTTTAAACTTCCGAGTGTGTTTCCGGTTGGGTTTTCCTTTCCGTTTGCTCTTCCGTTTTGGATTCCACTCCCGTGGGCACTTCCGTTTCGGCTTCCGTTTGTTTGGGGGCTTCCTCTGTGCTCCAGACTGAGGGCCAATCGCTGTACATTGAAACTGGACGCAAGCAACTGGAGCCACCTACAAGTAGCACGGACCAAATTGCTGTCTGTGCAGGTTCCAAAACCGACGCCTGAACGCGAAACGGAACCGACAGGGCATCCGAAACGGATTGTGAAACTTTGAATCCGAAGCGGAACTCGAAACGGAAAGCCCGGCAGCACCCGAACCCAAACCGGAAGTGGAAACGGTAAATCCGCGACCCTCCGGAAATTGGAAAAAAACAGAAAACGCAGTGTGTTTACCAGCTTTTTTCCGGTTCTGAGCCCAAAACCCTGGGTTGCGGCCTCAGAACCGGAAAAAAGTGGTAAAGACACTGTGTTTTCTGGTTTTCCAATTTCTGGAGGGTCGTTCCCGCTTCCGGTTCGGTTTCTGGTGCTGCCGCGCTTTCCGTTTCGGGTTCCGTTTCGGGCTCCGCTTCGGATTCCAGATTCCGGTTTCTGCATTCATGTCGGATGCCCTGACGGTTCCGTTTCGCGTTCGGGCGTCGGTTTCGGAACCCGCCGGAGCCCCACCCAGGGTCAATTGGACCGGGTGGCGAAGGACGGGTGGTGGCGGAGGCAAGGCGTGGTGTGCTAGTAAACCACAAAATGCACCGCAGCGTCAGCACGGTTTACCAAATTGCAAAGAAGTGGAAGAGACTACAACGGAAAACGGAAACCTGAACGGAAGCGAAATCGACCCCGGAACCCCGAATGGAAGCACGCACGGAACCGAAAAAGCAAGTGGAAAACGAAACGCAAGCGAAGACGGAAGACCCTGGAGAAGCGGAAGACAGAACGGAAACAAAACGGGAACAGAAACGGAAGATGATAGATGCCTTGTTCCCGAAATGGGCTTTACAACTCTACTGCCTCATCCATCATTTCCCCAGTTCCTGCACACTCTCCTAGGGTCTCTAACACTGTTCCCCGGCCGGCCCACATGTCTTCAAGCGCAGCCCTTAAACGCTTTGCAAGGGCACACTCTTTCCCTGCCCTACATCTTTGGTGTGGACGGCAGCAGTCACACTTTCCTCTTAACCCCTTTGCCTTCAATCGCAATCCGACAAAAAACGACCCGAAGATGCAGCAGCTCTCTTGCAAAGGCATCAGACAAAGAGCCAGCCTTCGTAGCCCGCAATGAGCTCTTCCTGGCAGCCCGAAGTTCAGAGCCGGAATTGTTGCTTGCAAATGTAGTTCCGATGATCGTCTGTGTGATTTGGCCCGCTGGTTTCTCTCCAGGTCACTGACATGATGCCAATGAAAGAAGCCAATAATGAAGTTGTACTGGTCCTGCGGGCGAGACGCCCCTGTCAACCCCAGCACACGGCGAAAACTCGAAACCATGAGACCCTGAAAACCAAACCCGACCGATGCCGGCGAAAACCAGCACAGAAGCTAAAACGATCTGAAAAAAGACCGTACTTAAACCAAACTCGCCTCTTCGCTCCATTGCGACATCCACCTGGGTTGGTCGCTGGCGGTCTCAGGCTCCGTTGAGGTGGCTTCACAACTCTGCACAATTGCTTGCAGTTGAGGGAAGGTATCGGGCCAAGTGCAGGGTTAATGTTGCCGCAACTCAACATCACAACTTTCCGGTTACAACGAAACGCCAAGCACAAAAGTACACAAGGAATGGAAGCCCTGTTCACATGTCACAACCAAGTGCATATTTGGAGACAGCGTGATCAGGCTTAGAGGCTCTGGTCTGCTTCGGCATTGCTGCAAGAGCTTCTTTCGGCTGACAGCTTCGGGGATAGGAAGCAGGTTGCACCCCAGAGCCAGAGACTCGACGATAAGTCATCCCAGACCCCTCTGCCCTGCTGGCTCGGGACTGCAGCTCGACATCAGTGCCATTCGTCACCTGCAAGTCTGCAGACGGAACTCTCAGAGTTGCATGGCCTTGCTCCACGTGATGATAACCGCGGCTACAGTGATGACGATGACGATGACGACGGTGATGATGATGATGATGATGATGATGATGTGATGATGATGA